TCCATCAGTCAGTGAACCACCAGCCCGTAGGAATACAGAATCATGGAATGGTTTGGGGTGGAAGGACCGTAAAGCCCATCCAGCCCCACCCCTGCCATGGGCAGGGACACCTTCCACTAGCCCAGGTTGCTCCAAGCCCTGTTCGACCTGGCCTTGGACACTTCCAGGGATCCAGGGGCAGCCACAGCTTCTCTGGGCAGCCTGTGCCAGGGCCTCCCCACCCTCACAGCCAAGAATTTCTTCCCAATCTCCCATCTAACCCTGCCCTCTGGCAGTGGGAAGCCATTCCCCCTTTTTCTGTCACTACAAGCCCTTGCCCAGAGTGTCTCTCCACCTTTCTTGTAGCCCCTTCAGGTACCAGGAGGCCACAATCAGGTCACGCCGAAACTTCTCTTTTCCAAAGAGGAGAATTTTGGGTCTCTGGGGATAAGTGCTTTGGTTCTGCACTGCAGTTTGTGAAGCCACATGCATGAAATGCACTTAAATCTCTGTTCCTGCTTCAGGAAAAACAGAGGCCATCATCAAGAACTTCAGCCCACACTACCGACGCCAGTACGCCGTGGCCTTCTGCAGGCACGTGCAGGAGGAGCTGGAGCAGCACCGGCATTCCCAGTCCTGCTTCCTGAAAACCAAGGTAGGAAGGCTCTGCTGCGTGGAATAATTAACACATTAGCTACTTAAATCGCACCTTTAGAAGTTGTAAGGTGTGAAAAGTGTGAGCTGGAAGTTTGTCGGGCACTGCCTGCACTGGGTTTCCTTGTTCTTCCCTGCATTCAGTGCCCTCAAGGAGAGGTAAGAGTGGCACAGATACTCAAAGCTTCTAAAAATCAACCCAGAGCATGTTTTTAAAGTTATCTAAATGTTTCTACACAGACAAGCACAGTGTTCTTTCGGCTTCTTATATTGGATAGTTGAAAACATAATAAATGTGCATCTGTGGCATTTTACAGATGTGTTTTCTTATCTATAACGCAAGTTCACACAATAGTTTGCACATGGAGATGTTGGATTTGGTTCAGTTAGGTTTGAGGTGCAGGTTTCAAGTTGTACTTTTGAAAATTCATGTTTGTTTTGGTCTTGTTTAGTTGTTTTATTGTAGTGTGAGGAAATCTGTGGCACAAGTTCCTGGTACAGAGTTGGCCAATTGGGCAAAACTATTTTCTTCCTGCTGACTGCAAGGTTCTGCAAAATCTAGGGACACAGATCACACATTCAGGGAAGAGGAAAACATAATTAATCCTTTCATCCACAGCTCAGGGTTCCATGAGGAAGATGGCAATAATTCCCTCTGTGGAATGAGCTACAGGAAGCTGTTTTTTATTAGAGGAGAGACAAAAAGAGAGACAAAAGTCTCTTTATTTGAGGAAAATGCAGCCTTCAATGTTAAGAAGATACAAATCTAAATTTTCTGGCCATATGGGCAATCATGAATTTCCAATGCTTTGGAAGCGAGTCGGGTAAAGCACTGAGGTGAGATGTAAGAGGAGGGATGATGGAAGAGGTGGGATAATAGAAGAGCTGTGTTTCTCAGGAAGATATGTATCAGTTACTAGAGCACAGATGCAAAAGTGCTACAGAGAAATGAGAAACAACTTACTATTTTATAATAAAACTCTTTGCTGCATCAATGAAATGTTTTTAGGACATAGTGGAAAATGGGAGTTCGTGAACTACAGGTCATTTTGCAGCGGGTTGGAATGAGGTGATCTTTTAGGTCCCTTTCCACCCAAACCATTCCAGGATTCTAAGGTCTTGCATTCAGCACACCAACTGAAAGAATCACATCTCTGTCTCAGAAATCTGGCAGTATTTTTGGAAGGCAGAGCTCTTCTGCTTCCTCCTCAGCTCAGGCTACAAGAATTTGCTTATGTATGTAGTATCTGCCCAAATCAGAGGGATGTTTGTGACTCCAAAGAGCATTTGAAGGCTCCAGAGCTCTCGTAGCAGCCTTCTGGAAATGTAGGAATAAAAGCTTCCAACTGGCCAGGGGTCCAGAGCAGCCTCAGAGCTCACAGAGTGTCTTTGCAGCCCCCAGGGGAAGCGGGGACGGTCTTGTACGAGGCAGAGCTGCTGCATTTCGCGGAGGATCTGAAGAAGTGGAAGGACAGATATGTCGTTATCAGAAATGACTACACTGTGGATTGCTTTGAGACCAAGGAGGTAAGTGCTTCTTCCTTGGATGTTCTGGTCCATTCCCAAATAAACTGGTGCCAGGTGGAGTTGCTGCTGCCTCTCCTTCAGCAGTACTGGATGAAGCCTTGTCCTCGTCCCAGTGGCTCCAGCCTTGCCAAGGGGATGGCTGAGGGTAAAACCTTGGCAATATATGTTTGCAAGAACTAGCGAATCATTCTGACAGCACTTTGAACCTTCCTCTGCCTGTCCCAGAACACTTCTTGTCTGTGTGTCACTGTAATGCATCCCTCTGCTCCTGCAGTTGGATTTTAAGTAGCAGTTGTGTTACTTAAAAGTAGTAGTGGCCTCAGGTTGACTACAGGGAAGTTTTTCATTTGGCCACAGTCAAACTAGTCCTGGCTGACATATCAAACAAAGAGGGCTCAGGAGAAAATCCCATCCTTTTCCCTCCCTTCTGTCCCTGACTCTTCCTCATGGCAGAGAAGCTCTAAGAGGGTATTTTCAAACATGTTTTTTATATTTAACTGTGTTTTAGATTTGACATGTCTAGGGAACATATCCAGAATTCAGCCTGATAAAAAGATTTTCCCTTTTGGGAATACCCCCATGCATTAAAATCATAGAATATCCTGAGTTGGAAGGGACCCACAAGGATCATGGAGAACAACTCCTGGCTTTGTCAATGAGTTGTGTATTTTATGTTTTCCCTCTCCTTAAATCTCTGTTTCATGATACTCCCTCTTTCTTGATTTTCCAGGCCTACCAGAAAGGAGCCAGCCCTAAATATCACGTTGTTCCTGCAGGAGGCAAAGTGCTGACTTCAGAAGAAGATTACAATTTGCTGTCTGATAAACATTTTCCAGATCCTGTGGGTAAGCCCTGAGTTGCCAAAACCCAGGCTCTGTTCCTTATTCTGTTCTCTCTTCTGGGAAGGCTTTCAGGCTCCACATTAAAACAGGGCAGCAGAAGATGCCCACAGCCCTTTTCCCAAGTCAGAGAACAGCTCCAGGGTGGATGAACACAGAAGGTGCTCTAAGCTGACATTCAGAGAAATGCAGGCTCCCTTTCTTCCCATCATCCCAGCACAAAGCCATGGAAGCTGTGCAGAAGCAGGGCAGGAACCACACCACCATTGTTCCCGGGCTTTGTTAATATTCCTGGTTTATTTGTTTCCATTTTTAGATGCCAGCTGCCTGTGTTGACTCACAGCTGATAATGAGTCCCACAGAGAGGGCAGGAAGGTTGCTGCTGGTGCTGCTGCTGAGTTTGTTGTTTCTGGGATGGGAACTGCTGTGGTCCTGCCTGCCCCCACTGCACAAAGACAGAGAAAATTCAGGCTGTCAGGGAGCAGATCTCATGTGGCAGAGTCAGATTTGGACAATGGAATGCCACGTAATGAAAGGGATGAGGGTACCATGAAGACAAGGATGTATTTTTTAAGTCCTGTCTCATCCTACTTAAAGTTACGACTGTTGGGAGGTGCCCCCTTACACCCTTTCCCAAGGCATGGGGTGGTCAGAGGGGCTTGGGGGTGTCCTCTGTGTGTCACCACAGCTCAGTAGCAGTTGGGATTGAGAAACATGGAGCATCCTGAGGCTGTTTGTGGGCTTCCCATGGCTCTCCCTTCAAAAAAAGAGGGCCTCAGTTAGACTTTTATGCCCCCTTTCCCTTTCTCTGTGATGCTGAAGACCCTCTGAGGTGACCCTCCTGTGTCTGGGCTCTCAAAGCACAGCAGTGACCCAGGATGGGGTTTGGTCACCCCTAAATGTGTTGTGCAGCAGCTCCTGTGCACAGGGACTCACAGAAACTCAGGGCAGGTGGGAACTGGAGGTACTTGGTGCTTTCTTTGCTTCACCCCCAAGGGCTCGAAGGGACAGTTCTTAAGTGCAGGTGTGTTTGGAAACCCTGGAGCCAAGGGAAGCACTGCTGTTCCAACATGGTTTAATGCAGTTCCTACATGGAAGTCCATATGCTCCTATATGGTCTCTGTGGCAGAGACCAGAGCTGCCCACACTGACTTGCTCACTTGCCATGAAAACCATTTCCCCAGCAGCTGCAATCCAGTGAAATAATTTCTTTGGAATTTTCCCACGACTGTGTAGTTTTTGGCCACCTTGGACACACAGCAAGAGGCTGCCATGTTGCTGTGGTGTAAGGTGGCGAGGTGTTTGGTGCCTGCTGAGTGTGCCCATCCCGGCCGTGTCCCCCTGCCCTCCATGTCCAAATGCTTGGATTGGGAAGCAGACTTGATTTTTTCCTGTCTCATGCTTCCCTCTAGCAAAGGTCTAGAGATGAGCCAACCACCCCAAGAAATGGGCAGCTTTCCAGGGGGGTGTGTTTTTGTGCAGGGTCGAGTGAGAAGGAGGTGAGTCCAGCCTTTGTGCAGCTCCCCAAGGAGTTCCCGGTGTTCCTGTGGCAGCCCTTTGCCCGGCACAGCTACTTCTGCTTCCCGGAGCCCGGAGCCCAGAGGGAGTTCAGCGCCGTGCTGGGGGACTGTGTGAGACACTCCAACCACGGTGAGTGCACCCCGAGGGACAAGTCAGTGTAACCCTGCTTCCTGCTCTGCTGGGAGCACAGCTGGGGGGTTTGGGGTGCAGCGAAGTGAGCTTGGCTAGACAACATGGGAATTGCTCGCTCTGTCAGTCCATCTAAATCCAGTATGAGGATACAAAATTATAAGAGATGTTTACTAAAAGTGGCACAGGACACCCTCCCTGTGTTTGCAAGCTTGACAAATTCATCCCAGATCCAGAATCATAAATCATAAAATCACAGAATGCCCTGAGTTGGAGGGAACACACAGAGATCATCGAGTCCATCTCATGGCCCTGTACAGGATACCCCAACAGTCCCACCATGTGCCATATGGGAGAGCAGGTTGTAAGTGTGGAGGGAGTGTAGTCTCCCAGGACATTTCCGTGGTGTTGTATCACTTGTGATCCAACGCTTGGCCTTTCTGCAGGTGTTTGATGGCAGGTCAAGCCCCATCCATGGTTAAACCATGGAACTAGTTTGTGAATGGTGTGTAAGACACAGTATGGGTTGTTTGCACAAAGAGAAATTTTAAATCTCACTTTCTGAGTATGTTAGACTAGAGAAATTAAAAAAAACCAAACCAAACTTGTGGCTTGCTAGGGTTATAAAAACCTTGCTCCCATGAAATTGGATGAGTTGGATCCTTCAGAAAAAGAAATGCTTTTCAGCTGCCCTGGTTCCCCCACCTGTCTCCAGGCTCCACCATGCCTTTAGTGTCACTTTTGAGTTCCATCTGCTCTTGCTGCCCTTGGTGGGAGATGGGAACACTCAGAAACTTCTCCAGCAATCTCAGCTCCTTGGGCCCGAAGCCTGTGCTTGTAGAGGAATGAGCTGTGATGCAGTGTGTGAACAGCCCCTGGTACTTACAGAAGTGGCTCCCAGTGGATGTTTTTTAGCTGTCACTTTAGTGTCCTGGCCATCAGCTTCACCCCATTCCCTCAGACAGCTGTCTCCCACTGTCCTCCACGGATCCTTCTCGGCTGCCATCTCTTCTCCCTTGTCTCCACTGCCAGAGGCATTCCTGGTCTCCTTCAGGACTCCATTCCCATGATGAAAACACACAGGACTGCGTTTCTGGGTAGTTTCTTAAGATGTGTGTGGTCTCAGGGGTGGTTGGTGGCAGGGGCTTCTTCCCAGGATTCCTGGTCCCCACCCTCACACTCTGTACTCCCCCTCCCCAGCTCCTTTCCAGCCCTGCTGGAGGTGGTGAGACAGTGTGTCCTCCTGGCTCTGGGAGCCTCCCAGAGCAAGCAGCTCCAGATACCATTTCCTGGCTGGATGAACAGAGGCTGGAGGCAGCAGTGTGAAAGGAACAGGCCTTCACTTGGCACCTCCAAGTAGCTTGAGCCTCAGTGAATATTCTCTGTGGAGCTGCTGGAGGAACCCGAGGCCAAAGCCTGACTCTGTGGCTTTCAGTTCTGGTGAGCCTGGTTTTAGCTGTGGCAGTTGTACGGGATGAAAGTCCTCTGGACTTGGTTCCTCATCAACGCTTGGTAAAGAGATGGAAACACAATCATTTTCCTGGCACTCCATGACTTGAAGCCTGTTCATTAGGTCTTTGGTTGGGGTTTTTCATTTCTCTTCTGGAGCAAAGTGTAACAGGCTTGACAAAGCTTTTGGCAGCCTGGGTTTTTTCATAAAGTTCAGCACATCACTCTAGGGGACAATCCTGAATTGGCAAAAGCTGGGTTTAGATGACCTAATAGGTCCTTTCCATCTCCAAAGCCTGCAAGTCTGCACTTTATTATATTTCATATGGCTCAGCTATTGCTCATTTGTGCATCTGTTCCAGGATTTATCCCTCTCAGCTTTTCCTGTGGTCAAGTTTTGATCTGACAGAAGATGCTTAGTGACACCCCAGTGCCTTCCTCAAGGCTCATCCTCTCTGCCTCAGTATTTCCGCCCAACAGGGTGATTAATAGAAAAAGACAGTCTGGATTAGGACCTACTGTTACACCAGGAAAAGGGTTTTAACAGCTGACAAGGAAACAGGAGCCCATATTTTCTGGATTTCTTGGAGTTATATCATCTCCTGGAGACTTAGGTGCTGCAAGTGGAAAAATGATCACAGACAAGCACCCCAGTAACCTGAACTGTGCCCTGGGAGTGAACTTCTTTTTCCAAGGTCTTCATATTGATTTATATTCATTCTCACATGACTGAAAAACATGACTTTATTAATACTTTTTAAAGGCTTATTTGCAAAGAATTCTGCTGACCAAAAATGGGTGTGTGAACGATCTGACAAAGTTACAGGCACGTGCACCAGTACTGGGGGTAGTGAGGATTGTGATGTAAACTTTGGCTGTATGTTTTATTTAATAAACTTGAAAAGAAAGCAGAAATGTGAAAAACCCTTCGAGTTCAATTGTGGAATGTGATTTAGTGGGATAAAGAGCACCAGCCAAGGCAGCACTCACCCCACGTCTTCTGAAAGAGAGTTCACTTTTGCCAGGGGAGATTTGGCAAGGGCAGGACAAAGACAGATGTAATGTCTGATCAGAAGTTGCCTTTCTGTCCTTGCTGTAATCTGCCCCTCCTGGAAAGGAACGAATCCCCCTGGGCTTTAGGCAGGGCCTTGGAGGAGTTTTGGGCCTTGGAGTGTGTTTTCCCCCGGGAAGCAGAGTCGGCCCCGCTGTCCCACCCAGCAGAGCTGGAGTGACCCAGCGTGTGGTCCTGCTCTGGGAGCCGCCCTGGCATTCAGCTCTTCCCTCTCTTTGGAGTCCCTCTGGTACAAATAACCAGCCCAGCCTGTATTTCTGGGATTTCTGGTCAGAACAAAAGCCTTTGGATTCACGGAGCACCGCTTGGAAATGGGATTCAGATGTATGGGTGGCACGTTTTCCTGTCATTCCCCTCCCAGTGCTCCTGCTGTGTTTGTACTCATTGATGGGGGCTTGGCAGTTTGAGGAGACAATGATTTCCTTTATTATTGATCGAATATGTGGATCAAAGGCTTTTAAATCTGTGATTAAGGGCTAATTAATGAAAACACAAGTGCCCAGGGAGCGGCAGAGGAACCCCAGAAAACTGATGGGCACCAGGACCCGGCCCGGCTGCCCCGGCACTCAGAGAGGGCTGGATAGAGGGGAACTGCTTCCAGGGAGCCTGTTCTTCCCACATGTCCCTGGAGGACAGACCTCCATCAGTGTAGGATTTTATGTAATGCTTAGGTTTAAAACTCCTCAGATTTTTAAAGAGGCTGTGCTTGGTTTGAGGTGGAGTGTGGAGGAAACGAATTACTCCCAGGTGAGATGTGGTGGCAGCATGGGATTTATTGCTTTGCCTTATCTCCATGATCTCTCCACTTTCATCCACAGCCTGGACTTATTTGGTTGCCTCTTGCTCCTCATTTTCTCAGTGAAACGTTGAGAACTGCACTCCTCAAATTTTGGGGGAAATTGGCTGCTGAAATGGCCACCTGACCTGCACTGGGGATGCTCCGGCAGTCCAAAATGGCAATATTGAGGGAAAGGCTTAAAATATTCACAGTGCTCCAGTACTCCCCATTCTCCATTATGTTTGTATGCCCTGAAAATCAGACTGAAGTTTCTTCAGAGCCTTTATTTAATTATTTGGTTTTTAGGAAGTCCTCTCGTTTTCTGCATGTGTTTCACTTCGTATTTCCTGCTAAAAAGGAAGAGGCCCAACCTCTTGGTGCTGGGACAGAGGGAAGTCTGTGTGATGAGAAGGAAACTACAAGTGGCTCGTTCTGGGAGACCCAGAGTTTCACTTCAGGATTTTATTTTCTTTCATCTGGTTTGATTTCACATCCGTTATCTTGAGAATCACCCTCCTGACACAGGAAGTTGAGGGACTTTCAAAAACCATATCCTGTCATCTCCAGTTTCAACAGGAACAACACCAAAAATTGTTTTGAGCAATAAATACATGAAATAAGTACAAGGAAAAAAATACATGAGGCAAGAGACAAAGACAAAATGTAGTTTTAAGCTCAGGAGGGGCTTGGCTACATCAAGACAACTGGGACAGGGTCAGATTTTTTTCTCCATCTCTGACTTTTAGGGTTGTCATTCTCTGTGTCCACATTTTCAACTCTAAATTTATCTGATAGTTGTTTTTCTCATAGTTATTTCTAACTTTCCTATGGTACATGTTTATAGTACATGTAGGACTTACCAGCTCTTGGACTGTAGTTCAGAATAATTGCTGAAGTGTTGGTAAGGGTTGAGAAGCTGCCATGAAACAGTTAAGAGAAGGATATGTATGTCTGTATATTAATCTACCTCTGTGTCTCCATATAAGAGCAGAGCAGCTGTCTCGAGTCCAAACAGCACTTTGGAAGGATTTCTGAGCCTTCATGCCACAAACAGGGTGGCTTTGCTTCTCCAGAGGGGGCAGCTGAAGGGAAGGATTTCCTTGTTGCCTGCTTCTGATGGATGTGGAAGGAGCAATTAAAGTAGACTGAGGAGGAAATTGCTTTTCATGACATTAAAGAAAAACGCCCTCATGCACTGGGATGAAAGTGAGGCCTTTTGGAAGGATTGTGTAGTAATTTGGGGTGGGAAAAGGTACAAATGAAGACAGTATTTAGTCCTTCATCTACCAGGACTTGGCTCCTCTCACAGCAGCTGCTGCACTTTGATTAATTAAATTGCTTTGTGTTTCATAAGGTCAGATCTCCTGTGATCCCCATGAGACCATGGCTGCTCTTTCCCCAGACATGTTTGAGGCACAGCTGCCCTGCCCTGATGTGTGAAGTTCCAGAGCAATATTAATGCTGTCATAACATTCAAAACCATTTCACTATAAATATCTTTGATGAGGCTTGTGGGGAGCTGCTAAACTCATTTTTTTAGGACACAATATGGATTTTTTTTGTATAAGAGAGAATATTTTGCTTCAAATAAGACTATTTTTCCTCTTTCTGGGATGTTGTTGCTCTACAGCATCAGTTCCTTCAGTCCTTGCTGTTCCAGCCAGCCTGCTTGCCTACACTGTGGGGAGGATTTTCAATCTG